TAGGATTTTGGCACACTGCAAGAGATTTGCATTAGTCGACCAGCAGTGCATTACTTTGCAACATGTTCGATTTGTACAGCGTTTGATTTGCAATGAATTACTTTATGCAGACTTCAGGCCAAGTTAATGTAGATTGCGTTTTTATTGGCGGATATGCTTTAGTTCCAAACCCCCTCGAACGGTCGGCTGATATTGACTGCCGTTTTCTAGTGAGGAAACCGTGAGAAGAATTTGTGACAAGTTTACCAAATCCTCACGTGAAGTCAACAAACGCCATTTTAAACAAGAAAAAGCGAATTTATAAAACTTTTATGATTAATCGATCTCTGTCATCGAGAGAAAGACTAATGGCTCTGGCAGAGGAGTTTAAAGTGATAATGTTATGATAGGATGATTCCCCGAAACTCGTCGTAAGCACCTTCCAAGCGAAGAGCTCGAATTTTTCGAGTTTGCATTTATCACTGCGGACAAGCGGACGAAGACGTACCGTCGGCTCCCCGAGATAGATGGGGCATGGCTCTTTACAAGCTCGTAATTGATACCTGTTAGCCACGTATCAACTACAAGTTCGGCAATATCAATGCTGCGCTGTGGCTAACACATATCAACTACGGATAATCACTTGTAAAGACTTGTAAAGAGCCAGCCCCATCTATCTCTGGGAGACGACGATAGCTCGAACAAAAGCTGGGATATTAGTTAATGAAAGACTGCAAACATATGCTTGAGGTATCAGTCCAACCGTTTGATGCAGACTCATTTTGCCTAACATGGAAATTCGATGCGAGTTACTCAGCATCCCCTTGGCAAGAGAAGAATTACAAAGAATTTGTGGATGAGCTCCGAAGCGCGATATCACAGAAGCGATACACATACGATGTTATAGTTGGTGATTGCAATGGACATGTACGAAGAGAAGAAATGCTGACTAATTGTGGGTCAAAAGTGTACGAATCGCGAAACAACAAGATGATGCTCTCGTTGAATTTGCAGAGTTAGTTTTGAATAAGAAATCATTTTTTTGCAGATGCCTAGCAAAAGACGATGGACCAGACACTCCTGGTGGATTATGTAGGAGAAATTGGCCATGCCTTTAGCACTAATCACGTACCTATTAGGTTCAATGCTGGAAGCTACCATGGGCTTATCCGAGCCGACGTGAATCGAAATCCTGACATCAACGTCCATAAATATCAACTGTCCCTCGATTACGATGAGTTGAAAACGAAAAAACCTCCTTTATGATGTATAATCGCAAATACTTTATTCTCGGCATCAGCAATGACCGACTCGGCATTCTCATAACGACA